ATAATTTACAAAAACAGATAACTCTGTTTTTAACAATTTTCAAAAATTATGTTTTTTCATTGTGCATTCCAATTAATCTCAATAAAACTGAAGTTGGGTTATTTTGATTTGGAAAAAATAACTAAAAAATACTAGCTAACTAACACAATAAAACAATAAAACATAACATAATAAAAACATGATTTTTGAAAATTAAAAAGAAGTTTTTGCAAATAAACTCTTCATATATATATATATATATATATATATATATATATATATATATACACACATATACATTTTATTTTTTATTATAAATTAAAATTATTATTGAAAATTATTTTATTATTTGACTTTGAATTACATATTTTTTTAATTCTTTTATATAATCTGTATATTTTATTTCTATGAAAGCCCGTTTCAGCTAGTATATATAGTATTTATATATAAACTGTTATGTAATATCTGAAATGGACTGCATATGTAAATTAATTATCACATTGAACCTCACCTGATGATGCTGTCCACACAGTTGATCTGCTGGTAGGATGGAATGTGTGGCTGTTTCCGCGCTTCTTGCAGAGACTGCTTTAGATGAGCTCGAATTCCCAAACCCTGACTAGTGTTCGGATGAACGCCTGCTGCCACCACTGACGGGAACACACACCGTTCAAATATGATTACATCAAGATGAGCTGATGAGATGACTGAAGACAGATGCAGAGAAGACATACTCCAGACCTGCAGCGGCTGGTCCTAAAGGTGTGAGCTTCCTCCGGGAGTCCAGATACGCCTGCTGGCCCCAGTTCTTCACTTTATTGACATCAGCACAAAACTGCTGCAATGCCATCTGCAAGACGAAAGAGCTATCGTAAGGCCCATGCAAACCAACATTCATATGTGACTTTACATGCACATTCAGACGTACTGGTTCTCTGTGCGAATCCTCCCAGAGGTTTCCGTTACTGTCGCTGGACGACGCCACACTGATGTAGTGCTCGTGGGAGCCATTACTACCCAGACTGCCATAGCCACTGGATCCATTATTATGAACCGGCTGAGAGGAATACAGATATGATCAAACCAGCAGCTCAGATGTGCTTGACAACTGTAGTGATGCCGCATATGAAGCAGTAGTGATGTTACATATGACACTGAAGCTTCAAAGCACATCGGGTAAGCAGCGCAATTTCTCACGAAGCTCTGTGCCGGAGCACGTATTGTTTTCAGAGAATCACATGATCAGCAGAAAATGAAGCCTCACTATCTGTCAAATCACGTGAGCATGTCGGAATGTTCGAAACCCCAGATCTTACTTTACGAGTACGTTTTCATTCAGACTTATTCAATTACATTTTTAAATACCCAGCCATACAAGTAAAATGAAGAATAGAAACAATTTCAGAATTTTTTTTTTTTGCATATTCAATTCATATGTGTACATTATTCTTCTATTACATCATATTGATATTCATATTGGCATTTAATGGGTAAATTATTTTATCAGAGAGAGAATTTTAACAAACACACACACACACACACACACACACACACGTCTGGTCAGCTATCCTTGTGGGGACTCTCCATAGGCGTAATGGTTTTTCTACTGTACAGACTGTATATTCTATTGCCCTACACCAAGCCTACCCCTCACAGGAAACTTTCTGCATTTTTAGATTTTCAAAAAACTTAATTCTGTATGATTTATAAGCTTTTGTACCCATGGGGACCACAATTTAGGTCCCCACCGTGACACGAGTCCCCATGAGTCTGTGTGTAGTCAGGTTTAAGTCCCCACCAGGATATATAAACCAGTACACACACACACACACACACACACAATTTTCACAGGCTTTTGGCAGCTATATTTTTTATTGACCACCAGATTTTATATTTTTGACACTCGCGATTTGAATCTTTTCCCGAAACAGTCAGTGGAAAGCCTCAGTGCTTCATGAGGCTTAATTTGCCCATCACTATGAAGCAGTGTTCTTTTAGTATTATTTTTATTCTATTAGAGCATTGGTCTCAAACTCAGTTCCTGGAGGGCCACACCTCTGCACAGTTTAGCTCCAACCCTAATCAAACACACCTGATCCAGCTAATCAAGGTCTTCAGGATCACTAGAAACTTCCAAGCAGGTGTGATTTGGAGCTAAACTCTGCACAGCTGTGGCCCTCAAGGAACTGAGTTTGAGACCACTGTATTAGAGTTTGTATTCATATTTTCTCAATTTTAATTTTAGTTTACTTTCTAATCATTTTTTATTCTTAATTTCATTTTTGTTCCTTTTAAATATTACAATTTATTTTTTCTTCAGTTTTAGTTCAATTTTAGCTGTTTATATAGCTTTAAGTAATTAAAAGAGTTAATTGCCTACATTTTGTTTACAATTTTTATTATAATATGTATATTTTATTTCTACGAAAGCCCGTTGATTTTTTTTCTTTTGCCCTTTTTTTTTTAGTAAAATATGTTTAATGGACAGTGTAATTATCGTGATAATTATCGATATCGACTGAAAATCTTTTTGGCCATATCGCCCAGTCCTACTTCTATGTATATTAATGTATATTAACGACTGATTTTAGGTTTTAATAAGTTTATTTTAACAGCTTTTATGTATTTTGGGTGTGTTGCTCACACAAAGTCATCCATGCAAAACTATTCAAAACTAGTTTAACAAGGTTTGGGGTCAGTGAGATTTTTTTTTTTACATTTTTGACAGAAGTCTCTTATGCTCACCATGGCTGCATTTGATTAAAAATACAGTAAAAACTGTAATATTGTGTAATATTATTACCATTTAAAATAACTGTTTTCTATCTTAACATATTAAAATGTAAAATGTAATTTATTCCAGAGATGCAAAGCTGAATTCTGAGTACTGAATTTTCAACAGCCATAATTTCATTTAACTTAATATTTTTGAGGGAATCATCATGTATTTTTTCAGGATTATTTCATGAATAGAAAGTGCAAAACAAATTTCCGTAACATTATAAATGCCTTTACTGTCACTTTTGAACAACTGGCCTGCAAAAAGCTTGCTAATGTGGCTTGTCCTCTGTGGATTCAGTGATCTCTCACCTGAAGGAAGAGCTTGTAGATCTTGGCTTGCAGATCTTTAACGTCCTCACACATGATCAGCTGCTTGGCTTTACTCCGCACGGCAAAAACGTCCTCATTCAGAGGTCCACTACAGAGAAGACACACAAAAACAAGTGCTTCTGTATGAGCAAATGTCAGTGTTTGGACACCCAACACAACTGGGGCGCTCCTGAGCCGGCGCTTACGTGCGAACTTTGTGTCTGCCGATGATGAAAGCCACCTTACGGCTCCAAGGGTTGATGAAGCTGGACCAGCTGGAGTCCAAGGTGATGTAGTCGCCGTTCTGACACCGAAAGCGGATGGGCGTGTGTTCAAACGGAGGCTGGCCCGCGTACTTCAGAACTGAAGGGATCAGGACACATTTTATTAAGACCTTATACAAGTCTGATAAAGACTTCACAATGTAGAAAAGTCATAAGAGATGTACGTACTTTTGCGGTGCATGGCCAGCATGAGCAGGCGGTCGTCTGGATGAAGGCAGGCCAGAACTGAGGTACCAATCAGGTCCTGAGGGAGGTAGCCGAGCAAAGGCACCGCTCTGAAAAACACACACGACAACTAACACATGAGGAAGAATTTCACAGTAGCTACTTTACCACAAGAAAATGCATTTGTTTCAAGTCTTTGCCGCTAAAATGCTCGTCTTATGCTATTGATTAAACGTGATGTTTGAAATCAGTCCAAGTCAAGTGTTATTTGTACTGTAAAAGACTTTCAATTCTAGCAAGATACTGAACTAATGTGGCTGACTACTTTCAACTTAAAACTACTTCATGGTCGTGTGGTTAAACAAGGGCTAGCATAACACCCAGTGAGTACTACAGAATAAACCTTAAAGGGGTCCTATTATGCTTTTTCCCTTTTTCAAATTTAGTTAGTTTGTAATGTTGCTGTTTGAGCATTAAAAAGATCTGCAAAGTTACACAGTTCAAAGTTCACTTCAAAAGGAGATATTTTATTTAACAGAAATCACTTTTCAAAAACTACAACGAACGACTCGCTTGGACTACAATGCATATTTTCCGGGATTTGTGATATCACAAATACAGAAGCTGCTGACTGAACATTACTAGTTTATTTGGTAAGCAGCCATGTAAGAAGTCGGAAACTTTTTACAGATACTTACTAAATAAACAGATACATGGATAGACATTGATTAGAGTTGAAATGATTATTATTAAAATGATTCATTTTTAATTTAAAGAGGTGACAAACAAGCAACAGGACAAACACTTTATTATTACTATTACACTATTATTATTACTAATGTTGCTCAGCTTTACTCAACATATGTGCAACATATTTTATACTTCTACTACTACTACGCTGCTCAGCCATATTCTGTGCAACATTATATTTTCAAATAATAATAATAAGCTGCTCATCTATACTCTGTGCAACATAATATTTAATAATAATAATAACAACAACAACAACAACAACAACAACAACAACAACGTGCTACTCAGCTTTACTCCATGCAGCTAATGATTGGAAATACATTTTTTAAATAATAATAATAATAAGCTGCTCATCTATACTCTGTGCAACATAATATTTAATAATAATAATAACAACAACAACAACAACAACAACGTGCTACTCAGCTTTACTCCATGCAGCTAATGATTGGAAATACATTTTTTAAATAATAATAATAATAAGCTGCTCAGCCATACTCTGTGCAACATAATATTTAATAATAATTACAACAACAACAACAACAACAACAACAATGTGCTACTCAGCTTTACTCCATGCAGCTAATTATTTTAAAATAATTATAATAATCATAATAATAATAGTATTATTATATTATATTATATTTAATTATTATTATTATACTATTTGCAACATAATACTTTCAAATAATAATAATAATAATAATAATAAAATAATAATAACAACACTGTGCTACTCAGCTTTAATAAAAAAATATATATATATGCCATTTAGCTTTACTCTGTGCAACGTATTATTTTAAAACAACAACAATAATAGTGCTGCTCAGCTTTACTCCACGCAGCATATTATTTTAAAACAGTAATAACAATTTATTATTATTAAATAAACACATGACCATTTGCCCAAGCTGCCGATTCCTTTACTAAAAGTCAAAATCACTCACCGGTCATCCACTTCTAAAAACACACAGCCTGGCGAATGAGTCGTGCTGAATATGCGCTTGTTCATGGGAATGCGAGGTGCTGATACTTTCAAATAATAATAATAATGAATAGATAATAATAATGACAACAATGTGCTACTCAGCTTTACTCCATGCAGCTAATTATTTTAAAATAATTATAATAATCATAATAATAATAGTATTATTATATTATATTATATTTAATTATTATTATTATACTATTTGCAACATAATACTTTCAAATAATAATAATAATAATAAAATAATAATAACAACACTGTGCTACTCAGCTTTAATAAAAAAAATATATATATGCCATTTAGCTTTACTCTGTGCAACGTATTATTTTAAAACAACAACAATAATAGTGCTGCTCAGCTTTACTCCACGCAGCATATTATTTTAAAACAGTAATAACAATTTATTATTATTAAATAAACACATGACCATTTGCCCAAGCTGCCGATTCCTTTACTAAAAGTCAAAATTAATAAAAAAAAATATATATATGCCATTTAGCTTTACTCTGTGCAACGTATTATTTTAAAACAACAACAATAATAGTGCTGCTCAGCTTTACTCCACGCAGCATATTATTTTAAAACAGTAATAACAATTTATTATTATTAAATAAACACATGACCATTTGCCCAAGCTGCCGATTCCTTTACTAAAGGTCAAAATCACTCACCGGTCATCCACTTCTAAAAACACACAGCCTGGCGAATGAGTCGTGCTGAATATGCGCTTGTTCATGGGAATGCGAGGTGCTGGAGACAAAGCAACACGCAAACACACACAAATAACGATCCTTTGATCAGACAGCCAAGAGTAAAAGCAAAAAAGGCATTTCACTTAACACTAAACTAACAATGCAGAATAACCATATTTCATTCCGGCAGAGTTAAACAAGTAACATATTCAGGTCATGTGACAATAAATTACTGCACTACTGTTTGAGAACGTGGCGAGGTGAAAGGTACCCTTGTATCCTGAGATGATGCGCTCGGCCAGGGCCAGACAGCACGGCTCCTCCTCTCCGCTCAATCCCTGAAACTTCAGCAGGTGCGGAGTGAGCCGGAAAGGACTATAACGCATTTCTCCATCTCTATTCTTCCCTCCTCTGAACACACACATAGAAAAACGTTTAAAAGACACATTTAATATTCAGTAATATTATCAGTTTGACTGCACTGACAACAGAGAGAACAAATGAGAAGAACTGAACAAAAATGAACGGGATAATTATAGTATTAGCTTCTGTAGAGCTGCTTCATAGATAGAAAAAATGGGCTTAAGGGGGCAGTCGTGGGCTAATGGTTAGAGACTCGGACTAGTAACCCAAAGGTTGCGGGTTCGAGTCTCGTACCGTCAGGGATTGTAGGTGGGAGTGAATGTACAGCGCTCTCTCCCACCTTCAATAACATGACTGAGGTGCCCTTGAGCAAGGCACCGGACCCCCAACTGCTCCCCGTGTGCCGCAGCAAAAAATGGCTGCCCACTGCTCCGGGTGTGTGTTCACGGTTTGTGTGTGTGCACTAATTCCGAGTATGGGTTACCATACTTGGCCACAAGTCACAAAAAAAGCGTGTGTCATAATTTGATGAACATTGCACTATTATTGAGCTAAACTGAATCAACAAGCTGAATAATTGAAGGACGTTACTGAAGGACTATTGTCTTGTTTATTACTGTGAAGCTGTTTTAAACCAATCTGTATTGTAAAAAGTGCTACATAAATAAATGCAATATTAATGAGACACAGATGAGAATGAGTAATAATGCTGTACAAGGGGCAATTCTGATAAGGTGAAACACACTGACCTGATTCGACAGAAGAAGGACTTGACCTCGGCACATTCAAACAGAACTGCTGCTACAGAGAGACAAAGAAAAATAGCATCTTTCATTCTTAAAATGAACATTTCAATTTATCAAAGCTGTTTGCATTATTCAATGCATGTGCAATATCAGTGACAGCCTCCAGAGCGACTCACCGCTGCCTGTGCCCACGTTCCAGGGCGGCAGCCCCGGTTGCGCCGTGTGCGAGTAAAACACATTGACGTCCTGATGGTACAGCAGCTCCACGAACTTGGCAGATTCCAGAAACTTCCTCTTGCAGTGAAGCACACTGGAGGCCTGTTCGGATGCGTAAACCACCTTCCCAGAGGCCAGAGAGAAGACCACCACAAACGTGTCCTGAGAACACCACAGAACTCCTTGTATATGTGAACTCCTTCCACAGAGACGGAACTCATTAAAGGAATAGTTCAACCAAAAATGAAAATCCTGTCATCATTTACTCCAACCCTTAAGTTGTTCCAAACATGCATGTGTTTATATACAGATATTTTGAAGAATGTTGGAATACTATGGAAGTCAGTGGGGACCAGCAACTGTTTGGTTTCCAACATTCCTCTCAGATCAGAAAATCTAAACGGTGCCTGAACCGATACTTATAAAAAAAATAATCACCAAAAAATGATGCATTGGCCATTAGCACTATAAACACATGATGTCTGTTTCATTCATACTGGACGTCAGAGGGTGCCCTCGCACAGAAAATCCACATATCCAGTCACAGAAGTAGCAACTCATGACCTCCAGGAAATCCCTTATATGGACAAAGGCACCACTATTATAGCTGCAACTGAGTAAACAGAACATATGAATGTTTTGAATGATAAAACAAAGACAACAAACACTTGACTGCGACAATATAGTTTACCTGTGTTATTCAAGCCATCTCTGGTATTTTCATAATAATTAAGTATATTTATAATCCATTGCTAATTGATGTATTCTTTTTAAAGTAGCCTATGGAACATATTTTCTGCCTCATTCTGTGATAAGAAGCCACATCAGATCACAAAAGGAAGCATTTGACTGGTGTTGTGGAGTAGTGGGCGACCGATATGGGTTTTTTGACAGCCGATGCCGATATCTTGGAAAGCAGGGTGGCCGATATAATTTTATTTATTTTAATTAATATTAAAGAAATTTGAAATCATTTGAAAATGGATTACAAATAATTGTGTAAAATAAACATACTTATACTTTAGAAAATAAAGCATTTTTCACAAATAAATAATTAATAAAAAATCTAATTGAATAGGAAGTAAACACTGTAACCAACAGGGCACTCAGTATTCTGGGAAGTTTGTGTGCATTGGGAATCATATATTTAGTTTTTTTTTCAAATAAAGCCAAGGTAACACTCATTTTACATACAGCACACAATGAAAATGACATGAACATGACAGCGGGCATATGCATAAAGCGCAGCATAATTTGAAATCATGAGTTTAGTTTGTCGATTGCGCGTCTCCAGTCAAGCAGAACTCTCCTCCTGTCCGCATTCAATTTGCACGGTGCCAGTGATGATGCTTCTTACGTTCGTTTCGGAGAACCAGAGGACAAATATTTCAATCGATCGCTCAGGCATGGCACTGAAATCTGCGTTCGGATTCAGTTCTAGTACATACCGGTTACATAGGTACCGGGGCCATATTGGTACCGGGTTTCGGTACCCAACCCTAGATATCAACTAGTTAACTGATTACATTAAAAATTGCAACCCAAACTTTCTGAAATGTAATGTTTTAATATACAAATGAGATCTAATTAAAGATGCACTAATCTGCATACAACTGGAGAACAGAAATCAGAACATTTTATATAGCCACGTTCACAATTATTGTTTCATTTTATTGACATATTAGAGTGAAAGATGTTTACAGAGGGGATTTCGAATATCTCTTTTTATCACTTATATAAATCAGAACATATTGACAACAGACAGAACAAAACAAGTATATGATCCACGTTTTAAGGAATAAAAAATTGTAAATTAGGCAAATGATATATAAACACAAAATTATTTTAGCATCACTGAGATACTATTATGGATTTGTTAATATTTTTAATTAGATTTTATTTTATGTTCTTTTAGATACATTTTTAGAAATGTAGTAGTGTTTTTTTTGTTGTTGTTGTTTGTAAATGTCTATATCATTTTAATGTTTACTTCAGTTTTAGTTTGATATTTTAGCACATCAAGTTAAACTTAAATGAAAATTTTGAATATCTTATTAACATTTATTTTAAGTTGAGAATTGTTTTTATGGGTTAAGTTTACATTTTTTGTTTTAGCTAACTCTAATAACTCGCAGGAAAAACCCCTGTGTAAAAACCTTCAGAATATAGACAGAAATAAAACGTGGAGAAATGGACATTTCTGACTTCTGAAAAACCCAAGAGAAAACCGCCCTTAAAGACAGGTATTGCAGTTCAAATCTACAGATGCAAATAAATACAATAGAAAAGTGTATTTTGGAATTTTTCCTTCCACTAGTCTGAACAACACATGATGAAAAGCCAAATAGCCCCAAATCTCAAAATTGACCAGTGAAAACAAACACGGCTTTGAGAGGAAACTCAGCAGGACCTACGGTGTTTTTCAGTGTGTGTTCTGATGTGATTCCCTCCAGCTCCTCCAGCATGCACACAGTAGCATCTCGTGTCTCCTCCAGTCCACTGCTCATTAGTAAGTTGTAGTACTCACTGTTTGCTGCAGGGAGCGGCAGAGGAAGAGTAAAAATGAGCCGAGCATGAGAACCACAATCTTTTAGTTAATCAGTGTTTGGTTTAAACAACAGAGCAGGTGGCTCACAAGAGACCATGCCAGATATTGCAACACCAGACTACTGGGAAATTTCACATAGCATTACATCACAGACTGAATAATGACATTTATTTCAAGTGATGGTAAATAAACATAAGCAGAAAAATAAACCCATATAGCCACTGGAGAAGCTTGAATTAATATTAATAAAATACATTTAATTAATAAAACTAAATGCATGATGATTAAATCCCTTAAAATATTACCATGATAACTATCATTTCCACCAAATAAACTCAATATAACCTTGCAAAAACTTTTTTCCTTACAATTGCCGTATACAAAACAGATTTTGAAAAACAAAAAAAATTGTAGAACTTGCAGCAAACCTATAGCAACACATTCAAATATGCCAAAAGAAGCGCATGTGCATGTGAAAATATGAACTTGCAGTAATTTGTGGCAAAATCGGTATATTTTGGTAAGGGTAACCACAGCGAAATGACAAATCTGAGAAGGAGTGAGACAGAATTAGCAGGGTTTTACTGCCAGCGAGTGGTTAGGACCTGGACTCGCCCTTCCTGCAGACGCAGCTGTTACATAATCCCAGACGCTCTGCTGCGGATCTGAATGTGTGCTGCCGTTATAACAGCAGTATGTGTGTGTGTGTGTGTGTGTTTATACCTTGTACTTGTTTGACACAGTTCAGTGCATAGTTCAGTGCCTCTACAGTACTGGCTTTACTGCGGCTTCTCTTCTCAGACGGCAGCCGTTTCTTCATCTCCTGCACCGTCTGCATCATCTCTCGGTGCGTCTGTTCACGGCCGTGCTCCGTCTGCTCACTGCACATGCACACATTTGTATTCATTCACTCATTCAACATTTGTTTGAATTTTAACCTAATATTAATTCATTATAATGGAAGCCCATTTCTGCCACACAAGAAAAAAATCTAAATGATGACAAAAAGTTGAAATTATGAGATACAAAGTCATAATTTTGAGATAAAAAGTTGACCATTTTACTTCAGAATTGTGACTTTTTATATAATAATAATTTCAACTTTTTCAAATTAATCTCAATTTGATCATTTTACCAAGCATGATTTTATGTGAAAATATTTGAAAAGTAATTAAGACTTTTATGGCATAATTATGGGGTTTTATCTAATAATGACAACATTTTTGTTAATTTTTCTCATAACTGATGTGTCAATTTTGACTTATCTCATAAAAAGTCATTAAAAGTAAAAAAAAAAAAACTTTTAATGTAATAATTATGTTTTTTGTTTTCAATTTTAACTTAGTATCATCATTACGACTATTTATTTCAGAATTATGATTTAACAAAGCATTATTTTGTTATTTTGGCGAATAATGATCACTTTTTATCTTGTAATTTAAACCTTTTGTCAATTTATCTCATAATTGACAGTGTGTCCGTTTCTACTTTTAATTTCATAAAGTCATAATTATGATGTAAAAATGTCAACTTTTAATGTCATAATTGACTTTTTATCTCATAAAATGTAGTAATTATGACATATCACCTTTTAATATTATAAGTGTGACTATCTCATAATTTCAATTTTTTATGTCAGAATTATTATTTAACAAAGCATAATTTTGTTATGTGGTGAAAAATTCTATGATAATTATAACTTTTTTGCCTTGTAATTTCAGCTTTTTCTCTATTTATCTCATAATTGACTTAGTGTGTCAATTTCGGCTTTTAATCTAATAAAAAGTCATAATTATGACACACATTTCAGCTTTTAAATCTCATAATAATGACTTATTTACTTTTTTTTTATTTATTGGTTAAACAAAGCAGGGTTTTGTTTTCTTATGTGGCAGAATTGGGCTTCCATAATTATAATAACTATATGGGTGTAGAAATTATTTGAAAAGTGAAGGGACTTTTATACACATAATGAAAATAGTTACATTAACATTTGATTTCAACACTAGATAGTTTCATCCTTTACAACTGAACACATTTTTTTTGTGTGTTTTGCATGCATCTTTCTTTACAATAAATGGCACTTTGCTATCCATTTTGTATCTAATACAACAACATTTTTAAGTGTTCAAATACTTTTTAAGAGCACTGTATGATCCATGACATTAATGCATATCTGCCAATACGAATGGAGTTTCGTTACCGCAAAATTTCAGTTCTAATGCAAATATGTGGTTGTGACGGTTTGAGGTGGGTTCGTTTACCTGCACTCCGTGTGATGAGCGCTATGAAAGCTGGACGATGACGAACCAGTGGCAGATTTTGAGCTGAAGACACAAAGAGATGAAGAAGAACTTGACTTGACCAGAAGTCTAATTTTATACACAAAATGCATACAGCTGGTCTAGAAGACAGTTTCAATTAGAACTGCGCTTTCAAAGATTTCTTAAAACTTTTTAATTAGGAAGAAAGAAAACACTCAAATGGACTTGTTAAAGTAGACTACTCACGATTTGGGGTTTATTCAAATCACAAACCCTCAGCATGAGCATTAATAATAGTGATTGTTGAACCTCTTGGTGCTTCCTGATCCCGTGGTGCTTCCAGGGCTGCAATTGGCTAAGGAGTGATGATGTCGTGACCCACCGACGCCATCGTTTCCGCTGCTGGAGTCGTGGCCACTGTTCATGTCCACATCCTCGTGCGTCTGCTCTCCTCCGCTCTCCTCACACCCCGCTGAGCTTTCCCCTCTGCTGGTTCTTCCTTGCTGCTCCTCAGCCTCCTCCTCCTCACCTGATCCGGATCCGCCGGTCCCGGGGTCCTGCCCGCTGTTAGTTTGGTCCGTCTGCCCCGCACGCTTGCTGGAGCCTGGAGAAGAGTTCTCCTCTTCTCCATCGGGAAAGCTGTCTCCTCCCGGCATTCCCTGCTGCAAGTTCTCCTCCGACTGCTGCCCACCTCTACTGAAGCTCTGATCTGCAATCTAGATGCTTCGCTGCTTTTGTCCACATCAACAATGTAGGAGAGTGTCTATAGAGAGATCCATGAGGATGATGTTTTACTAGATGCTTACGTAGAGTCTTCCACTGAAAGAACTGCAAAAGGAACATGGATAAAATAAATAAAGTTTGTGTGTGTGTGTGTGTGCATTTATACATACACATATATATATTTATACAGTATCTCACAGAAGTGAGTACACCCCTCACATTTTTGTAAATATTTTGTTATATCTTTTCATGTGACAACACTGAAGAGATGACACTTTGCTACAATGTAAAGTAGTGAGTGTACAGCTTGAATAACAGTGTAAATTTGCTGTCCCGTCAAAATAACTCAACACACAGCCATTAATGTCTTTTTACACCACCATTATTTTCCAGCACTGCCTTAACCCTCTTGGGCATGGAGTTCACCAGAGCTTCACAGGTTGCCACTGGAGTCCTCTTCCACTCCTCCATGACGACATCACGGAGCTGGTGGATGTTAAGAGACCTTGTGCTCCTCCACAGATGCTCAATAGGGTTTAGGTCTGGAGACATGCTTGGACAATCCATCACCTTTACCTCAGCTTCTTTAGCAAGGCAGTGGTCATCTTGGAGGCTCACTTTTGTGGCCAGAGGTTTAGACATGTCTGTGTGCTGAGTTATTTTGAGGGGACAGCAAATTTACACTGTTATACAAGCTGTACACTCACTACTTTACATTGTAGCAAAGTGCCTGTGTGCTGCGTATATTTATTATGTATGTTATTATTATTTAATGTTATGTATATTTATTACACATGCATGTATATGCTTCAGAAAAATAGGTTATGTTTATATATTAAATATATTTATTTATAATATAAATTATATGAATATAAATATAGACATGTAAATATATGTAAATAATATTTTCAAAAAATATATTGTATGTGTGTGCATTTATATATACATATTAAATATACACAGAACACACAAATATATATTGCAAACACAAACTTTTATTTTGTATGCGATTAATGATCGCGATTAATCGTTTGAGAGTGTTAATTTTAATCGAAAGATATATACATTGTCCAAAATATATGTTTTTTTCTCGCCCCTTTTCATAATGTATTTTAGCATTTGAAGCTCTGAATTTAATTTTCAATTTGGAAAATATGTTTTCTTCAGCTGTGCTGTTTACAACGTACAATAAATGAAATATAATTTGACCACGGTACATCAATATGATGAATTAAAGGGTTAGTTCACCCAAAAATGAAAATTAGCCTGTGTTTTACTCACCCTCGAAGCATCCTAGGTGTATATGACTTTCTTCTTTCAGACGAATCCAGTCGGAGTTATATTAAAAATTGTCCTGGCTATTCCAAGCTCTATCATTGCACTCAGCGGGTGTTGCAGTTGAACAGTCCACAAGTCGTCAAATAAAGTGCACGCATTCATAATAAAACATCCCTCACACGGCTCCGGGGGATGAATAAAGGCCTCCTGTAGCGAATCCATGTATTTTCATAAGAAAAATATCCATATTTCAAACAAGCGGAAGGCGTTCTGGTGGATGACGCAGGATGTATGTGTCGCATGCGCACCTCTGAGATATGCTAGTCTCGTGAGTTTGTTTATAGGAGCAAAGGAAGCAAAGTTTCCTTACTTTAGCAAAGGAAAACCAGTCTCCTCTTGGTTTATATCGAAATCCTCCAACATTTTTCTTTACAAATCCTTGTTTTGTGCATTCATCACTAATCACGCAACGCCGACGTCTTACGTCTTCTGCTGGAACGGCTTCCGCATATGACCGATAACGGAAGTGAGAGAAAAGTGTTTATTACATTTGAAATATGGATATTTTTCTTACAAAAACACATGAATTCGCTACAGGAGGCCTTTATTCACTCCCCAGAGCTGTATGAGGCATGTTTTATTATGGATGCGTGCGCTTTATTTGACGACTTGTGGACTGTTCAACTGCAACACCCGCTGACTGCAATGATAGAGCTTGGAATAGCCAGGACAATTTTTAATATAACTCCGACTGGATTCGTCTGAAAGAAGAAAGTCAAATACACCCAGGATGCCTTGAAGGTGAGTAAAACACAGGCTAATTTTCATTTTTGGGTGAACTAACCCTTTAAGCTTTTCAGAGCTCTGAATATATAGTGGGAGGTTACCTACACTGTCTAGTACAAAAAAGCAGGAAAACAACACATTCACCATATTTCATCTCATTAACTACTGGAATTATTGTATAATGGGGTGTTGATTTGCACATGCAGCACAAGATGTCCAAGTGTGAACATAATCAAATCAGCTTTCAAGCTCAAAAACAACACAAAAGCCCCAAGGTGTCTCAGACAGAAAGATTCATAACACATATTATACAACTGTCTGGCTTTATTCAGGACACTAATGTTACACACTCCTAACAGTTACAGTTAGGGTTAGTCCAGCTAAATATTTTACAAACTTTATTGTCCAAAGTGCCTCATAAGTACAAGTGTTTTACACAATAATAAAATATTTGAACCGACAACCTTCAAACTGCAATTTAAAAATTTTCGTAGATAATTTGTATTATTTGTATGGCAAAAACTGTAAGTCTGATTACTTGTATACATATGCACCAAAGTTTAATATTTCAGGTTATGGATTTGTTCTGGCTTCGCAAACATTACTAGATTCCAGGCCAGATCATTTCAATCAAATTTTTGGTGCCTGCATATCTGTTACGGTGTTGACGTCACACTTTCTATATTGTAGGGTCGTGACCTGTCTGTGTAATGCCTGCTGCCGTTTGTACAGAGACTCTGACGCAGTCATTCTCAAAATAGGCCGCGTCAGAGTGGGACTGGGTCAGGTATTAAAATTACAAAACAGACTTTCTGAACCCTGATTGTGCACAATTCAGACTGACCTCTCCGCTCATTTTAAAACACACAGGATTCAGTTAGAAACGGTCCAAAGCAAGTTCTAGGCAGGCTTTTTATAGTTAACTAAAACTGAAACCAAAAAACTAATTTTGTTATTTGAAATAAAAGAAACATTAACTGAAATAAAATAAAATATATAAAAACTTATTTCAGCATTCTCATTTTCATTTAGTTTATCCTGATGTACAAAAATAAAAAAATTATAAACTATATAGATAGACTATATATTAGAAAATATATAGATTACAAAATTAAATAAAAAAGTTAAAAAAAAAATTAAAAATAGAATAAAAATTAAAAATAATTTAAAAAAAATTTAAGTTTTTTTTTTTTTCATTTATTTCTTTATTTTTTGCTATTCTCCCTGACTCAAGAGTTAAATATCGTCCATCTATATATGCACAGTTTTTGGACATTTTTAAATAAGGTAAAACTTGAAAATGCACTTCAGCAGAACAGGGCGGCGGCAATCGGTGCTTTCAGTAATGCATTATGATTACATATGTGATTATATAATACAGGTCACGTATACACATTCATTTTTTTGTCATTCACATTTATGCACAACTGTTTCTTTGTCATATCTCATGTCTTTACAAAAAGCGATATGGGATCTTTTGCAACAGGTAATAATCTTTATGTACACTGTATACTACTGTGAACCATAAAACGCTACATGTATCTTTACTTTACAACTTTTTTTACATAGTAAAAAGCTAAGATAAGCTGAAACATGTCCTCAGGTTACAGACCAGACAGAGTGAAACTCCTTGTGTCCTGGAGAGGCAACTGTATGCTAAATAGCACTGGGACTTCAAAAAGGAGTAGACAGACAAATAGACAGAATACAAGCTTTAAAGCAGAAGTGTGTCATTGTTCTGCAACAATGCAGAAATAAAGACTTTTTAAACAGCTTTCCCAAACAGCCCCGCTCCAAACTCATGTAAAACTCAAGTCAGAGCTGGTTGAGATGGAAACGCTTAGCTTAAAGCACCAGTATCTACAACTATTTTTTTTCAGTATCTATCTACCTAACTACCCCTCTCTCTCTCTCTAGGTCTCTCTATATATAAGGGGTGTAATGATCCACGTATTAGAACCGAAAATTTTCAGTACAGGTTTTTTTGGTTCGTTACGCATGTGTACCGAACAAATACAGCATTGTTTTTAACCACTGCACGAGTGGAACTTCATTGCATTGTCACTTTCGATAAGTTTCAATCAGTGTTTCAACCACGCAAAGACATCAGCAAAAAATGTCACATAGCATTTCATTAACCTCAGGCAAGTCATCAGTGTCCACAGCTCGTTAGTTCGGTAGAGCAATGAAGTCTAGAGAGAATAAGGTAAAACTTGAAAATGCACTTCAGCAGAACAGGGCGGCGGCAATCGGTGCTTTCAGTAATGCATTATGATTACATATGTGATTATATAATACAGGTCACGTATACACATTCATTTTTTTGTCATTCACATTTTTGCACAACTGTTTCTTTATCATATCTCATGTCTTTACTACAAAAAGCGATATGGGATCTTTTGCAACAGGTAATAATCTTTATGTACACTGTATACTACTGTGAACCATAAAACGCTACATGTATCTTTACTTTACAATTTTTTTTACATAGTAAAAAGCTAAGATAAGCTGAAACATGTCCTCAGGTTACAGACCAGACAGAGTGAAACTCCTTGTGTCCTGGAGAGGCAACTGTATGCTAAATAGCACTGGGACTTCAAAAAGGAGTAGACAGACAAATAGACAGAATACAAGCTTTAAAGCAGAAATGTGTCATTGTTCTGCAACAATGCAGAAATAAAGACTTTTTAAACAGCTTTCCCAAACAGCCCCGCTCCAAACTCATGTAAAACTCAAGTCAGAGCTGGTTGAGATGGAAACGCTTAGCTTAAAGCACCAGTATCTACAACTATTTTTTTTCAGTATCTATCTACCTACCTACCCCTCTCTCTCTCTCTAGGTCTCTATATATATATAAGGGGTGTAATGATCCACATATTAGAACCGAAAATTTTCAGTACAGGTTTTTTTGGTTCGTTACGCATGTGTACCGAACAAATACAGCATTGTTTTTAACCACTGCACGAGTGGAACTTCATTGCATTGTCACTTTCGATAAGTTTCAATCAGTGTTTCAACCACGGAAAGACATCAGCAAAAAATGTCACATAGCATTTCATTAACCTCAGGCAAGTCATCAGTGTCCACAGCTCGTTAGTTCGGTAGAGCAATGAAGTCTAGAGAAGAGCATTTTGAGAAATATTAGACTATATACTTCATTATATTTTACTTGACCTGTTAGTGATGTCTTAATTATTAAAACAAAGCATACTTAAAGCCTTTATGTATAATGCATTATAACAGTTAGCTTATAAACTCATTGTTACACAATGCATTTTAAATTCGGTTATAATTATTTATGACAAGATATAATGTATTACAACGCACATTCCAAATAAGTATAATGCATTATTCCCCTTAATAACCCTTTATAATGCATTATGCATATAGGCTTGAAGTATTTTGCTTTCTCTAATGGATGATATTAGGCCACATTTTCCCTCACAATTGCCTGGTTATCTGATAACAAGCCTTGCCAAATTAAGAGTGTCAGTTTCACCGATATCTTGATAATGTGCAGTTTCTCGAAATATGGAATTTCAGTAAATATTGCATTCGAAAAAGCTGCATTCGTTTGCATCTGCATCACCCTGCTTTCTAATTACCTGCATCATCCATGAGAAAATCCATAACAGTTGACCACACATTTCCATGACTGTGTAAATTAACATGGTTTAAATAGGATACAGGTGGTTATACACGATCAGTATCAAATGTTCAATAATAAACGATAACTAAATACTTTCCTGGCTTATTCATAAGACTCCTAAGTTCTGAAGAATCACCTTAAGTAGTGAAACACCTATGATAGCTCGTGCAAATGTACATACTATTTTGATATTAAGCAACTACAGACCCCCACTATCTGACTTGCCCTATTAAAACACCATTGAGGATTCACTTAAGAAAAAAACAAACATCCTTCATAGTTTCCAAATTCCTAACAAACCCACAAGACAAGAATAACACCATCGCACATGCACGGCCACGAGTCTGCTTAAAGATATTCACATAAACCCGTCTGACCCGTGCATCTCTCACAGACCCGCGAACATACACTTATTATGTTATTTCTTTTAGCATGAAACAAGACAGACGGGCAGTGCGCGTGCGCACAGTTACATGCACAACCCAATGTAACGTTTCACGAAAAAAACACAAACAGGTTATTAAATATGCCACATATCAGAAATGAATGTTGATAAGTATATGATATAATTAATAACGTAATTATAATGTGGTATACCTTAAATCGCACAAGTCTCGAATGACGCGTTTCTCGTCTTATTAAACTCTCTTGAACATCACAGCACTAGCATATCTATAAATGTATCCCGCGCTCTTGAGATGCGTTAAAGAGGAGTACTTGATGTGTATGTTCAATAATCAGTTGCTCCAGTTTCTCATGCGTCTTACTCTGGAGCGCAACATGTCAGGCCCACGTGAGTCTGGCCGACCGGAGCCACGCCTGCTCGACTCCCATTGGTTGGAGCGTTTCCCCGTGACAGTCTGATTGGTCGAGGGCGTGGTCATGACGGCAGGCCAGCCGACTGGACTCACGTGTATGACCATGTTATAAACCGATGACAACAACGCCGCCCCCGGGTTAAATGAGGTCACACTGTACGGGTGCGATTACTTTTATTAAATAACTTGATGAAAAACGTAAAAATTCCTGATCTACTTTCGTTAAGACCCAGAGATACTTCTAATTAAACATGCATATCGCGCACGGTTAAGCTCATAAAGCTTGCGTGAATGTGCGCGGACAAAAATCGCAATGCGATTATAATTTTTGGGCCCTACTTGTACTTGTTGTTAAATAAGTCATTGAAAAGAGTAACATTTCGTGACTGTTAGGATCTGAACCAAAACTGTAGAGAAACCAAAAATACAAGAAAGTAGCCTACTGTGATGATAGCATGTTTGTTTAATTTGAAATATAACATAGTACTGAATATTAATTCATGACTGTGGCTGATAAACAGACATTCAACATCAATAGAGGATTCAGCGTTTTGTATTGTGTATTACTTATAACCAATCAATAGTTTGCATTTTTTAACATTTTTATTTTCATATTAATATATCATATTTCGACGTCTGTACATGCACTAAAGGTACTGTTAATGCCATTTAAAAGGTGCATAAGGAAATTATGTTTGGGTTTAGTCTTTACTATTCTAGAGGCAGATATGAGACTGCTTAATGTCTATCCAGATACTGTAGATACAGATAGGTGCTTGTTTCCATGGGATGGATAGATGGATAATTACCTTTACTCGCAATTACCTTTTTTATACTTTATATCGGGGAAAATACAGAATAGCGAGGTGTAAACTCAGAATTGAGAGAAAAAAAACTGAACTGTTGAGAGAAATGTACATTTGGAAATGTGAGAAAAAAATTCAGAATTTATATTTCACGATTCTTCATTTTTTTCTGAGAATTGCAAGTTTATATCGTGCGATTCTGACTTTTTTCTCAGAAAAAAAAAAAAAAAAGGTTTTATCCTGTGGTGGAAACAGGTTTCCACAATAGCTGGATTGAAAGGAAGTCTACTCGCTTATTCTTTATTACTGTGACTTCATCCTTAAGAAATCATTCTAGTGTTTTCATTCAGTACAGAAAATCATCTTAATCAAAAAGTGAGAAAGTGATTTGGAGCATCAGCTACTGTAATCCATGCAGCCTTTGAGAGTAAAAGCAATAAAAACTATTTATATACACTTAAGGATGTTAAATCCATGTTTTATTGAGCCAACATGGGCAATTCAACAGGCTTAACGGCAGTTTGTAAGGCCACAAGCATATAATAGCACTTGTTTACAATGTATACACATGTGAAACATACAAAGAAGATGCATACAAAAAAGCTCCGATAAGCAAATGTTTTGGCACCGTGAGCGAGAGGTGAAGAAAACACCAAAATACTACTGAAATCCTTGTTGAGCAAAGATATTTCCTAGCAAACTATTTCTACATAAGGCAATATGTATAATGCAGTTAAATTATTAGTGAATTATCACTTTGAAATTCAATCTTTTAATAATATCTCAAACTTATATATTTATATACATGTATATATATATATAATTTTTGTGCAGATATTCTGAGTAAAATCAGAGCAAAGTTATGGCAGTGGAGTTGTTTAAAGGCACGTCTGTGGTTGTTCAGGAAAGGCTCTTTTGTCTTGTTGGCCCAGAAAGACTGACGCAGCCAAAACAAGAGTGTCTGATCACAGCCGTCCATTACAAGAGTCCATGAGGGATTCATCAATGAGATCAGATGTTGGCAAATGGCTTTCACAAAAAGAGTTTTGGTCAATACGTTTTGGCCTCATGTTATCGTTGAAAGCATGCGTGTTATGGTTATGCATCATTTTGTAACCTGTACACTGTCAAGTCATTTGCACAGAGGAGTGTGTTAGATGTATTTGGAAATAGCATTCAGAAACATATTCAAATCCTAGTCATTAAAAACAAAACCTATAAAAAGAAAACAAACATTGAGGATAGTTTACAAGATATGCTTTTGAAAATCAGCAGGTTAGAACGTATTGGACGAGCATGCATTCATTATCTCTCTCTTCTTTCTGAAGTTGATACGCCTTCATATCCTGATCTTCTCCTCCAATTATAACCGGATTTCTGTCTTTATGACAGCGACCAGACTGAAAGAGAAATAAAGAGCAGGGTTCGAATTAGTTTAAAATGAATATACTTTCATTAAACTACTATGTATTTAATAATAATCAAATAAATTCTTCAAACTCTTAAATCGCAGGGCCGGCATCTCATGATCAATCTCTCATTTTGTACAACTGCCGCCCATGTAAGGGAGTTAAAGAGGCTGTGAACACTTTGATACTTACTGATAATGATGACAATGATGATCAAAACCACAGCTATCAAAATGGCCCACATCTGTAAAGACAACAAACAAATACACTTTGTCATATGATGCCTTAAGTTCAAATGTTATAAATTTTTTAGATTAATCTTGATAGGGATAGCATTTTATTTCATCTTGATTTTTCACAACTTGTGAGTGAGTTTCCAGGGTGAGTTGAAGTGAACTGTGGCGCAATAAGAGTTTCATTAAAGTGAAGTCGTACACAAGAGACAAACGGCCAAGTCAACATTTTCCTTTAATAACGTTAAATTTCCATTTGTTTCTCACCAAACCCTATTGTATACCCACACAACATTTGGAATACAGCACATGTTGCATGAGACTACTCTGCGATACTTTTGCGTCTTTTTATATTTTTGGTATAGAAATATTTTTTCTTGTTTTTTTTAATGTAAATGCAATGACCTTTAGCCAATTCAATAGGCTTAAAATGTCTTATTTTTAAATACATTTCTTAATATTACCTTTTGTAAGCACAAAAACTAATCTCAATGTATTTTAACAATAAGATATGAAATTATCAGTTGCATAATAATGTCTTTGTTTTTGCATATGAGCTTATGGGAAACTAAGGAGATGTTATATTACAGAGTTATATTATAGTTAAATGGTATACTTGTATTACAGATGCACAAAGAAAAAAAAAAAAAACAGGGACCAAATTTTCTGGAAAATACCCAATCATCTCTGAAGTCTTCATATTTAAAGAACGGATTTAAACCAAATGAGATATGAGAAAAATGATATGGTCTCTCGTGTGCATCTTTGTCTTACCTTGCAGTTCTTCCACCAGTATTTCCTCTTGAGTTTGGCAGCGCTGGTCTCAAACTGGGAAGCACCGGCCTGCAGGGCATCGGCACGATCGTCCAACTCGGACAGCTTCTGGTCTCGTTCCAGGACCTTATCGACATTCACTCTCATGATGTCCACCACCTAGAGGAACGAGAGGATTCCCGTTACAGGATTCTGGAAAAGTAATCAAGGTGAAGGAATCGTGCCATGCGTGTAAACAAACAGCTGTCTGAACACCGGTGCAGGTTTATTAATCGGTTGAACTATGTGAGACTTTTGGCAGGATGGCTGGAGACTTCTTAAAACCAGACAGGCAGCAGGAACATGTAATTTAATGGTCAGCATTTTAAACTAACATCACTGAGAGAAACACAGCATCACAACCTGATAGAACACGTTTCCAGTAACAGTTGTCTGTTCGCACTGCAAGCAAAAATGCTACGGGACAACAAAATCACAGCAAATCTGACCATATTTGATATAAAGTAGGATAGAGTAGATAGACTTTGGACCAATGAGATTTTATAGAACTAGGGCTGCCACTAACGACTATTTTTATTTCGATTAATTTATCGAATAATCTAAACGATTAATTTCCCACAAAAAGAATATTTTATTAAACCAAATGAAATCCAAATTTCTATGAAATACTTTTTTTTTTTAAAAGCAAAAGTGCAACAGAGTGCAAGCAGCAAGTGTCCATCTCATAATCCAAATCACTGAAATCAAAGTTCAGAATTATAGTGTAAGAATGACAACATATCCACGTGTTCTAGTCTACTAATAATACAATTATAATCAAAAAACACGTTTTAAAAGGAGTTTTTACCAGAATTTATTTAGGAGAAAATGTAAATGTGCAGTATTTCTGAAAAATCTATTAATTGGAGATGCTTTTGATTATTAAAATTTAATGGAACCATTAAAATGGAATCCAGAAAATAACGGAAAACAGAATTTGGTAAAGATAAAACTGTAAAAACTCAATTAATTAGACAGGCTTTTTGATTAATACATTTTAATTTAACCATTAAAACAGAGTATAGAAAAATGAAAATGGAAAAAAAAACTGAATTTGGAAATAAAACGGATTTCATAGGGCCCTATAATTATAATTTTTTTTGTGGTAATAAAAATAGATGCAAGTGAACAATAGCCTTTAAAATGACTGAAAATACATATATAATAGCAATGAGGCAATAATAATTAGTTCAAATAAAGTATCAAAAGCAAGAAAT